GCAGTAGTACCAGTCTGTGAACCTTTGTACCCCATTTCACTCACCCGTTTCATTTTTACTTTTGCTTTCAGCGGCTGTTTACTTTAGGAAAACCTGTGGTGTGAGTTACTATAAAACAGCCTCCGACCGAGCGCTGTCTCGCTGTTCATACCACACATGCACCACAGGCCTGAAGAAGAAGGAAGCCGCAGACTGAGACAACAGCCGCGTTGACATAAAATGTTATTTTCTGCTTTTATTCACACAACCAACATAAAGGGGAATTACAACACTACTAATGATGGCAAACATTTTTTATTATTAACAGTAAAATAACTACTTGATAGAAGTTTAAATCACGATTGTTTGTTTACATGTCTGATGGTTATTGTAAAGTCTCGTCAAAAGTCAATAAAAAATACACAACAGAAATAAGAAGCAGTTAAAGAAAGTTCGGTTATGATTTAGAAACACTTAAATAATATTTCAATATTTGAGCATTTTTACTTTATGTCAACATAACAAATACATCTTTTTATTCTTATTTATCAGCATCGACTGGGATGCAACAAAAATCTGCAGTAATTTACCTGCAAGCTGTTCACAAAACACCAATGAAATTAGAGGGACGCACTTGTAACTGCTGCAAACGGGAGCAGGAAAGCGTGCTGCACTGTGAGACGCTTCATACCGTGCAAACAGGACACGGCATCAAAGATGGCTACCGCTGTCAGAAAGCGCTGTACGGTACTCTGCAGGGCAAATCTGCTACGTAACGCTAGAATGATACAGTTCTGCCACAATTAACCGCAGTCAGTGTGGAGCGGTTACCACCGAATACTGTTACGACTTGACTCGTGAGCCACAACTACAATTAGAGACTGATGCTACAGCTTTTAAACCAACAAAAAAAAGTCTTATTGAAACCTCTCGATGTTCAATTTTACAGGTAACGTGTATAGCTCAAGCTATGATTAGATACATATCCAAATATGTAGTTCCAACCTTTAAACCAGGGGTGTCAAACACGAGGCCCGGGAGCCAGAATAGGCCTTGAAAAGACTTAAAGCTGGCCCACTGAATGACTTTGAAAATAAGTTAGCTTTTTTACTTTTAACTGTATTTTGTATTTTTTTTTTTTGTATTATTATGTTTTACAGCTTTTTCTAGTGATAAGGGACCCCACCCCTGGGGTAGTATGAATTCATACCACACACTACAGCAGAGTAATTAAGTAATCGATAAACAAGGAAATGACAGTAAAGTTCCTGTTTTTTTATTATTTACCGCAGAAATGTCTTTTTTTATTCTTTATATTGAGTCAACAGGGGGAAAACAACCTTTTCTGTGAATTAATTTAAATCCTTTAATTAAAGGACAATCTGGATGATCCACTATCAGAACATTTTCTGTAACTTTAAATATTTCTCATGTAGTTTCACTGAGCCCACGATTTAAAATGAGTTCGACTTCCCTGCATTAAACAGTCTCTGTGAGGCCAGCGGTGGTTTCAGACACCAAATCATACGTTAGCTTAGCTCATCTCTAAGAAGCAGGAGGCTCACGGATGTACCTGTGCTGTCGGGACTGGTGACCTCCATCCTCTGCGTGTGTAGGTTGGTCGGAACAAACTGAAGGTGTCTGTCTGACTTACTGGTGCTCGACTTAAAACAGGATGAAGCTGCGGATATATCAGGATATATCAGTTCTGTGTACTTCCAGATAGTATCTGTGGAAAAAGCTAAAATCCGCATGAAGATCACATCACCTGAGACCTTTTCGAGCTCAGCGAGCAGTTCCTGATAGCAGCCGGTCACGTGGTTACAGTGGCTGAGGACATCATGGCGAAGGCCATCCCAGTGGGGTGAAAGGTCACCGAGTTCCTTCACTTCCTGAATTCTAACAGGAAAAAAAAAAACTTCAGGCTGAAAGAAACAAAGAGTTTCAGTCTGTTTTTTGTACTCTTGGATTTTTATGATGTCATAGGCAGGTGATATCCTTGACATGATGATATCACAGAAGCCCCGCCCACCTGCTGTTGTCAGGGGCAGCTGAAAACAGTGGTTGTCTAATTTTTGTTGCGTGTAATAACATTACACCCACACGTATGTCCCTCCATACGTTTTCCCTGCTTGTTCATCTCATATGTGCAGTTGCTCTCCACAAAGGGAGGAGCTAAAACATC